TGGTCGGGTCGGGAGGGCGGGACATTCATGTATGTTGCGTAATCGAGTGGGCACGCGAGTGCCCTAACGGGCGGGACGGGTCGGGTCGGGCGGGCGGAGCCTGACGGGCGGGTCGGGTCGGGCGGGCGGACCCTAACGGGCGGGTCGGGTCGGGCGGGCGGGACATTAAAGTATGTTGCGTAATCGAGTGGGCACGCGAGTGCCCTAACGGGCGGGACAGGTCGGGTCGGGCGGGCGGACCCTAACGGGCGGGTCGGGTCGGGCGGGCGGGCCCTAACGGGCGGGTCGGGTCGGGCGGGCGGGACATTAAAGTATGTTGCGGATTCGAGTGGCCTAACGGGCGGGCCGCCCGGTTCCGACCCACCCACCCGCCGCCCGCCGCCCGGCCGCCCGGCCGCCCGGCCGCCCGCCGCCCGCGCCCGCCGCCTGCCGCCTGGTTCCGACCCGCCCGGTTCCGCCCCGCCCGGTTCCGACCCGCCCAGTTCGGACCCGCCTAGAGAGCGCTGCCACATGGGACATCGCGACGGCGGAACAGGGCCGGACGGAACAGGGCCGGCGGAACAGGGCCGGCGGAACAGGGCCGGTCGGAACAGGGCCGGTCGGAACAGGGCCGGGCGGAACAGGGCCGGTCGGAACAGGGCCTGGTCGGAACAGGGCCGGCCGGAACAGGGCGGGCCGGAACAGGGCCTGGTCGGAACAGGGCCGGCCGGAACAGGGCGGGCCGGAACAGGGCCTGGTCGGAACAGGGCCGGTTCCGTATGTATATGTGTATGTATATATACGTATATATATATACATACATACATACATACATACATACATACATACATACATACATACACACACATACATACACACATCCATACATGCATGCATGCATGCATGCATGCATACATGCATACATACATACATACATATGTGTTTAACACGTGTCCCCATATTTTCCGATGCCAGCAGACTCAGTAAATCAGGCGAGCGATCGATAAAGCATGCTATCGAACACGGCCCAGCGCTGCTCAAGCAGCCGCCTCCGAGCCCCTGTGAGCGAGGGGCCACACTTGCCAGCAGGGGAGAGGAGCAAGGGAGGGCAGGGAGGGACAACCGTCTTCAAGTTTTTGGCAGAGCCCAAAAACGGCAGCGGAACGGAGACACTCGAGAACACATTATCCAGCACGCAGGGCCATGTGTTTAACACGTGTCCCCATATTTTCCGATGCCAGCAGACTCAGTAAATCAGGCGAGCGATCGATAAAGCATGCTATCGAACGCGGCCCAGCGCTGCTCAAGCAGCCGCCTCCAAGCCCCAAGCCCATGTACATAAATGAACCGGGGGGGGGGGCGGGTAACTTAAAACCAGGCAGGGCGACGCACGCAGGCCAGCCCATCTTTGGCGGGCCCAATGCCGCTAGGCGACACCATCCCACCGAAAACGGGGTGTCCAACGGGCGCCCCCCCACCAAATCGGCTAAAAAGTTAAGGACCCCAGGGCGGCAGAGTTGTTGTTATACAGTTTGATGGCAGAGAATGTGGGCGAATTTATCACAGAACCTGACGGGGTAGGCGGAAGCCTTCTCAGAATGAAAGATGCCACACTCATCTTTACCTGCGATCTCCACATGAGGCTGGTTTGTGAACGAGCATACTCCACGACCGTGACACCGATCCGAGCGAAGGCCGTCGAGCACACAATTAGCATACAACAACCGAGTCCGCTTTCGGTAACACGATCCAAAGGCACAATGATCCCAGTCAATAAAGTTATGTTTTGTCAATAATGCCTGGAAGCGGGGGTGCAGCCACAACATAGACCCCTGGGGGATTCTCAATAATGACAGGGACCCCAAGCGACACGAGTCTAGAGAACAGGCTGGCGGCCCAATCGGCCTGACGGTTACCCAACTTCACTTTGCCTTGATCTTTCTCAGAGAGTCCAGGGGGCCCCAAGATGCACTCGGGTGAGCGGATAGGCCCCGGCCAGTTTCCAGGATGGGGGTTCCGCCTCGCCCGGGACCACGATGTGCGCACGAGCCCGATCCAGACAAACTTGAGGCCTCGCCCAGCGACTGCGAGGAGGAGCTGAAAAACATCAGGATGAAGCGCGTCTTCCAACGGAGAGTCGGCGAACTCGAATGAGCGCATGGGCAGCCCGGCACGAACACAGGCCGCCGACAACCTGCGGCTGCCCGCCATCAGCTCCACTCCCACTGTATTGGCAAAACGCACGACACGAGGTAGTTGCAGCAGCCCTCCACGCGGCCCCCAATCGCCCAGCGGCCTAATCAAGGCTACTGCACGGGCCACGAGGAGCGAAGGCGCCCCGCGAAGAGGTCCTCGAGCCTCGCCCACTGGACCTCGCCGTGCGCTCGGGCGGCTGGTGACAGCGCCGACAACAGCTGCTGGACCATCCCGGGCTTTGCATACCTCTTGACGCTGCTGTCCTGGCTCCAATGCCCCCTCGACTTCACTTCCCCGAGGGCGCGGCGGGCCGAGAGGACATCCTCGCTCGCACCGCCGTGGCGCAACTGGTATAGGCACACATCCTGCAGCCCCTGAGCCGCCGTGACTTTGCGGAACAACACCGCCATGTCGACCGCGGGGGTGGTGAACAACGACAGATGCCCTGGACGGCCGTGTGCGTGCTGGGCCAACAGAGGCCCGAGCCAAAGCGGGTTGTCGAGCGGCACTGCCTCGTCGGACGTCCCCGTCTTGGTCAGGAAGCGGGCTCGGTCCGCCTCGTGGGCGAGCGGGGCCAGCGGGTCGGCCGCCGTCGGCGCCAGGAGGAGCGACCACACCGCCATGGCACCCCCGGCCCTCGTGGGCCGCAAGAGGTCCCTCACCAGCAGCTTCCTCAGCGCTCCCGGGCGGATGAACGTGCTGAACATCGCGAGCACCTGGAGCGCGGCGTCCCGCTCGTTCACCGAGAGGAGTCCCGAGATCGCTGAGCCCACCACCTCGCGGGGCGCGGGAGCCCGCGACCTCGGGGGCACCTTCTTGCCGTACCCCTTCAGCGCGCGCTGCACGCGAGGCAGGGCCCTCGGCCCCGTCGCCCGCGGCAGCGCGTCCTTGACGGCGGCGACCAGGTAGTCCGCGTCCCCCTTCGCGCAGCCCGCCTCCAGGAACGTGTCGAGGACCTCCAGGACCTGCACCTCGAGCGCCTCGAGGTCGTCGGCTGGCTGTCCCACGAACGCCAGGAAGGCCGCGTAGTACTGCTGGTAGGACAGCCTGGCTGAGGCACCGACGGCTGCGTTCTCGCACGCCGACGGGATCGTGGCTGTCACCTTCGAGGTCCGCACCGTCGCCACCGCCGCCGCCAGCCGGGGCCGAAGCCCGGCAGCGCCGGGCGCCGCGGCCGGGCGGCGCATCGGCGCGGGCGCGCCTGCGGCTGCTGGGCGGCGAAGCGGCACAGGCGCGGCCACCGCCGCCGGGCGCCGCCGCAGCGCCGGCGCGGCAGCGGGCCTTCCCAGCCTGGCCCGCCTCGGCGCGGCTGGAGCTGGAAGACGAACAGCACGAGCCTTCCGCACGGCGCGCTGGACCCCCTTGGTGGTCGACGCGCGCCCGTGGCTGTCCTCCAGGCAGGGCGTAGCCCCTCCAGCCACGCTGAGCGGGCCGAGCATACGGCCCACAGGGCGGCCGAGCGTCCGGCCGCTCCCAGAGCCGACTAGGCGCGTCGGCCGGGTTTGACTCTGAAGCGATCCAACGGAAACGAGCCGAAATGCTACAGGCTATGGACAGAGCGGTGACCCGTCGACAGATCTGCAGGAGGCCGTGTGATGTGGCCCTCCCACGCTCCAGAGCAAGCACGACCCCGAAATTGTCAATCAAGTACAACCTCCTGGAGCAGTGCCGCCCTGGGTCTCTCGCATCACGGCGCAAAGCCCACACAGCGGCCCGTCCCTCCTTGACCCCGATGTGCTCGGCATATCTGAAGGGCGCAGCGTACGCGACACGAAACTGAGCTCCAAGGACTTCAGACGGGACCTCGGGAAAACCGACAGCGTGCTTCCAACCGCGCTCCGACGGGTTCTCCCAGGCAGTGTGTGGCATGGTGATTTCGTCAAGGCCGTCGAGGGCCCGGGCCCGGGGGGCCCACTCAGAAGGTTCCAAGCGACGATACCTCCACTCCACCTCTCCCGCCATCTCCCAACATCCGCTACGACTTCCTTGGGGGGCCTGGCCTCGGTTACTCCCATCCCGGTGGTGGACGCGTCGGTAGCGATGACCTCACTCGCCCACGGCAGAGACAGGGGAGACTGCAGATGGATGCAAAGGGTCGCCATAAGCCAACACTCGTAACGACAACTTCTCCAGAGCACCTTGGGCCTGTCGTAAGAAGCCCGGACAAACTCGTACACCGCACGCATGATCGAAAAGCCTGGGCGGCAGAAGAGACAGGCAGCAACATAATGTCCCAAGATAACCTCCAGCTGTCGGCCACTTACGTACGGGCCAGTTGCGAGCCAGAACAGAGCTTTCCTGACCACCAGCAGCTTTTTTAGAGAGCGGCGGGTGAGGGGGTCCGGCCCTCCGACGTCAGCTCCCAGGACGACGCCCTCGGACGACGCCTCGGAGATATCATGCATGGCGAAACCCTCCGCCTCGAACTGGGCGACGATGCGATCACGCGTTGCTAACGCGGGCCCCGGCTCCAGACCGAACACATTCACGTTGTCCGAGTACGGGGCCTCGATTGGGTCCTCGACGACCGACGGAAGAGGCCAGGATCCAGTAGCAACCATGGTAGAAGGGGCCCCAGACCTCCGCACCACCTCGAGGTGAAGACGTTGGACGAACCAGAAGGCCCAGGACCAACCCATCGGAAGCACCTGCGTCGCCGGGTACGCGAAGTCGCTCGTGCTACCCAGGTCCTTCACGGGGATGCCAGCGCGGTGAGCCTCGGCCCGAGTCACCTTAGGGAGGCAGAAGTACTGGCATAGATCTCCTATATCTCCGCACTGATAGAATGCACACTGGATATCAGCACATGCACTGTACAACTGCCTGCCCTCGGGGACCTCCAACGAGCTGAGGCTCTCCGCCGCAGCTATCTCCGTGAAGGGAGAATGTTTAAACAACTGGTTAGATTCACGACAGTCTAACACGAGCCGAATCTTGTCGGTCTTTTTTGATACGAAAAAACGGGGTGACAGAGGCTTTCTTGGTCCTAGTGGAAGTGAGCACATGGCAGCTCGCGAGCTGCCCCAAAAACTGCACATACTGGGCCCGATCATTTTTAAGCACAGCGTCCATGTACGGTCGGACCGGGTCCCCCTCCCGACGGGCCTGACGAACCTCAGGCTCGGCGAGGAGGCTCTCAAAGTTAGCAAGCGCGTGCGCGGCATCAGGGTCGAGAACGCCCTGAAGGCTGACCGGCTGTCGTCCTGCGGGGGGCAAAGACAGGGCATCGGCGCGGTGCGGGACGACCGTCGTCACCGATCCCTGATAATCGAGGCGCGATCCCAGAAGCTCACTGGCAGCTTCACGGGGGCTCATGTTAAATAAATCTGGAAAAACTTGTCGGGCAGAGCGAGCGGAACGGAGCAACCTCCGTTGTGCCAGCCTCTGCGCCTCGGTGGGCGCGGTAACCGACGAGCGCTCGCAGCCGTACAGAGCATTGAGGCCCATCAGCGAGTCGTTCGCGTCACTCAGCACGTCCCGACGGATGCATCTCCTTCGTTGCCCGGTGCGGGCGCGGCCGGAGCCGCCAAAATCGGCCTCCTGCGGGTCGAGCAGCGGGAGGGGGAAGAGATCGTCCAGGCAGCCGGGCGGCCTCGGAAGTCCCGGCGGCGGCCTGAAGCCGGGCGGCTGTGCGTCCGGCCAGCCCCAAGGCGGGGCCACTCCCTCCTCCGAAAAGAGCTGGTCTTTCAAAGCCGCGGCGGCGCTGCCAGCAAAGGCGCCGTCGTGGTTCAAGTCGGTCATGATTTCCCGCCACCTCCGGGAGGTGGCTTCTTCGCTTCTCGTGCTTTGCGTCTCTCCTTCTCGATGGCCGCCTCCTTGCCGAACTCGCCGGCCACGTGCGAGCGGAGGCTCGGGGCGACGAGTGTGCCCGCTCCATCGTCATCCTCGCCCATGAAGTGGTGGGCGCCCTCGAAGTTGCCCTTGTCCGGGTCGGTCTTGTGGGCCTCCTCCAACAACTGGCGGCGCCTATTGAGGTACTCCATGCAGGTGAGGTTCGCCAGGTTTATGCCGTCCACCGCCTGTCCGAGCTCGAGCGCCTTCGAGACCACTCGATGCTCACGGGCCGAGCGGCTGGCTGCGGGCACCTTGCTCTCGACCAGCCAGCGCTCGTGGGAGGACATGAAGCCCCCCGGACTCCGCGCCATCAGCGCGGTCACCGAGTCCCCCATGGTCGGCGGCCCCTTCAGGTGGATCTCGACCCGGGGGTCCTTGTGCAGCCACGCCGCGTCGCGGGTGAATGGGACTGGGCCCGCAGGTTGCCGCCGGGGCAGCAGGCGCGGCTCGCCCTGCATCAGGAAGAGCTGCCGCTCCGCCGCCCACTCGTCGAGGTTCGTGTCCGCCCGGACGAAGCAGCCCGTGGTGATAGCCCCGCCCGCCGAGACAAACGCGTGGCCCCCGAAGTCCAGCCCGCCCGCAGGGAAGAGGAACTCCTGCCCGATCGCGTGCGAGGGGCCAGGGACGTCGAAGACCCAGCTGCCCGCGGCCGGCGCCACCCTCGGGGCGGGCGGAGGCGGCGGGGGCGCGCCGGCTGCCGCCGGGGGCGGCGCGACCGGCAGCGGGATCGGCACCACCGCCGGGGCAACGCCGCCCGGGCCGCCGGCCATGCCCGCGCCGGGCGGCTGCGCCAAGCCCCTCGCCTGGCGCTCCACGCGAGCGTGCGAAGCCCCCTCGTTGAGCAGCGCCGTCAGCTCGGCCCCAGCAGGCTGCGCCGCGAAGCGGTAGAGCGGCGCCCCCGCGAGCCCAGCGGGCAAGCCCCCCGACGAAGGCGAAAAACGGATACCTGACAGGTCCGCGCTCGCCGAGTCGAGCTGCTCTATGAAGACATCCCCATCTGGGGTCATCACAATGTACTCCGATGCAGTGACCCAGCCCAAGATCAGGCGCTCATGCCAGAGCCCGTTGTCGGCCAGGTCATTGTACTGCACGAAAGCATAGGCCCCAGGCGCGAGCGACGACATGCCGCTGTCCGCGCGGGCCCCGGCCTCAGCCGAACGTCAGCACCCCGGCCCCGCGGTGCGAGGCCCGGCCCCGAAGCGCCGCCGCACCCGGCAGCGTCGCAGGAACCCTCGGCTCTGGGGCAGCGGCCAGCGCCGGCGCCGGCACAAACGACGCGGGCCCGTCCGCGAGGCCCAACGGCGGGCTCGGCCCGACGGCGCGAGCCGGACGGGCCCCCTCGCGGCGGCCCCTGCAGCGCCCAGCGAACAGCGCCGCGAGCGCGGTGGTGGCGACGCCCGCCACGAAGCCGCCCAGCCCAGCAGGCCAGAGCGGCAGGCAAGGGGGAGGCCCTGGACACTGCGGGCACGTCGGGCACTGCGGGCACAGGTGCTCGGGCCCGCACCTGTCGAGCTGCTTCTCGAGCAGCTTCAAAGCCCCGTCGTCGGAGCTGGTGTGGCAGGCGCACGCACACTCACAGTGGCATGCGCGAGCGGCCCCCCCCAGCCAACTGCCCGCGAAACTGGCGGACGCTACTTGGGCGAGCGGGCCAAGCATCACAACCGTCTTCAAGTTTTTGGCAGAGCCCAAAAACGGCAGCGGAACGGAGACACTCGAGAACACATTATCCAGCACGCAGGGCCATGTGCACATACACAGATGCGAAGCGCCCAGCATGTCAGGCCAAGATACTGCAATACTCCAGGGTGCGGCGCAAGAAAGATTGCCCCTGGAGCGACCGAAGAGGGCTCCAGGAGGGCCCAAGAGCAAGGATTCATGAGGGGCAGGCTCCGAGACTACCCCACAACAGACCCAAGAGGCCCCAAGACCGCCATAGGACAGCTCGAAGTGGCCATGAAGCCTCCCAAGTATACCCCAGGAAACCCAAACCTTTCGAGACGTGCGTCGTGTTCGGAACGGTTTCGGCTTTCCGATGGCCTCCTGAGGCCTCAAGATGGCTCCACGATCGCCCAAAACACCTCCAAGTGGACCCCAGAGGAGCTCCCAAGAGGGCTCCGATGACCCCTCAGAGCGCCCCAGTAACGCCCCAACAGGGACCCCGATCGACCGCCAAGAGGGCCAAAGACCGGCCCATGGGCGGGGATCAGTGGGCGGCACAGGATGCCCTAAGATAGCCCCAGGGTGGCTCAATGTGGCTCTAGGCAGCCACCACGAAGGCCAACATCAATGATAAAAGCCTGAACCTTCCGAGGGATGTTGACTTTGTCGTGTGCTGCCGTTTCGCTTCACACAGCCTCGGGAGGCCCCATGATGGCCCTAAGATCGCCCAAGGCCGACTCGGCGGCAACGACGCCAAGGAGGGCGCAGAGGGCAGGGCGCGCTTCGCAGCGCTGGACGCGCGCCCCCCAAGCGCGGGCGGACGCTGAGGCGGTCCGCGCCTCAGCCGCCGTGCCCTGGCTGCGAGGGCCGTCCGCGCCTGCCTCGCCGCCCGGACGGCGCGCCGCGCGCTGCGTGCCCCTTCGGAAGCCGCTGTGCCGCCGCAGCTGGTGTCAACGCACTTCGCCTTGAGAAGCGAAGGAGGAAGTAAAAGACAACGGAAGAGATCGCTCGCGGCGCCCAGCCTCTATGCAACGCCGTGCCATCATGGTGAGGCTACTGAGCACCTCATGAAGAGGAAGAGAATGACGAGCAGGAGAAGGACGATGGGGGAGGGGGTGGATGGTGCTCTAATCGTCATCCCGCAGCTCCTGAAGAAGGGGTGCCCTACCTGCAGGCCGCACGCACCCGATTCGGGACGGCAGTACCTGGGGGCCGGTCGCGGCGCAGCGTTTATGGGGTTGGAAGGGGGTAGGGGGGGGGAGGGCAAAACTACAAAGCTCGATTGAGATTCTCGCCTTCTCGCACACGTCCTCTTCTTCGTCTCCCTCCTGTTCTGGCTCATCCTCATTCAGTTCCTCCTGGTGATCTGCCTCGTCATCCTCGCCCTCATTCCACCTCTGCCTCCTCCTCCGCTGTTAGTTGTTATCTCTCTCTCTCTCTCTCGCTCTTTCTCGCTCTCTCTTTCTCCCTCTCTCCCTCCCCCCCTTCCCCCATCCTACCTCCCACCTGCGAAGTCACCCTCACTCCTCCCTCTTGTCCCACCATCACTTCTTGCCATTCATCTTGCCCTCCCCCGTGCTCTCATCACTATGCTCTTCCTCCTCCTACTCCTCTTTGTCCCTCGCCGTTCGTCCCTCAACATTGTTCCTCCCAGCTCGTCCCTCAACGCTTCTGTTCCCTCCTCAGCGCAGCCGCCCGTCGCGCGCGCCATCCACCGAGGCGGCCACTGTTCAACGGACTGATATCAACCCAAACTCCCCCACGCTTCCGTGAAGGAAGCCGTGCTACAAGGGGCCACGTGCCCGGAGACCGAACTGGCGGCAATGCTCCCGCACCAGAGCCCGCGACAGAAGTGACAGCCGCGGGCTGGCAAGCCGCGGCCCTCGCGAAACTGGCCCACAAGAAACATATGCAATGACGGATAAAACCTCCCGTCTGCCTCGGTGGCCACCTCGATGTGGATGGCCCATGGGGCGGTGGTCACGGACCCCCCCGCTGACCCACCGGAAACCCGACGACGATGTACTGCGTCTCTGGTTTCGCAGGCGGCGTCGAAGACCCTCCCTCTAGGACGCACCACAGAGCCAGCGGTGAGCAGACTTGGGGAAGAGCGCCACGGCCTCCCACCGTGTGAACACAAAGGCCGCGTGGGTGCCAGCAGACCTTCAGCCAGGCAGCAGGCCCAAGCCCGCCGCCACCCTGGGCCTAAGACCAGGTCCAACATGGCTGCAGAAGGGGGACGGGTAGGCGAACAGCAGACCTCCTCCTGCTCTTCGACGTCCCTCCCTTCCTCGTCCGCACCCCCATCCTCGTTCTGTTCTGCAAGTTGACGCTCGGCACGCGTGGGGCATTCCGCCGAACCCTGCTCGCGTGCGGGACTCTGGGATCAACCACAGGCGACATAATGGCCTCTCGAGCGGTCCATCCGACTGCAACGGGGCGGCTGGCGGCAGTGCGGGCGGGGCGCATCTCGTAGTGCAGCTCCATCTTCAACGTATCCGAGATCAGGCCTAACAGGACGATCTTGTCCTCGGGCGTCTTCCTCGACGAAGCGGGGCGAGGGCAGACAGGCGCAGAGGCGAAAAGCACAGGTCATTTGGCATGGCCACCGTTACTGCAGTTGCAGCGGTAGCCGTGCGTCGCGCCTCTGTGCAGCTCTTTACTGTACTCATCTCTCGTGGGGAATCACCGGATCGGCCCCCCTCGACGACCCTCCACGCGCGCCTATCCGATCGTTCTTTGGTGTCCCGGTCACTCTGGAGACCGACCACGGTTTCGATGGCAGCTGGCAGAAAGAGGAAGGTACAGGAGAAGAAGCAGGCTATCCAACATAGTGGTTGGAATAAGCATGAAACTTCACCGCAGACCACCACGCTCTCGGCGAAGAAGAGGTACTGAAAGGATGCCCACTTCGTGAACGAGACACGCATGTACCCTACTGCTAAACGCTGATGTTCTTCTTGAGGAGGAGGATCAGGAGGACTCGACCTCCACCTCTAACCACACCTCCATCTCCATCATCAGACGAAAGAGGATGATGATCGAACGGGTAAGCAGGTCCAGGATGGGTCCTCATCGTCATCCTGCTCATGTCTTCATCAGAGACAGCATGAGGAGGATAAGGCGAAGCGAGCGAAGGTACCTGATGGTGATTATGGCGATGGTGATGGTGACGAGGATGCGCCCATGGAAGGCTGCTGACTGCATCCACTCCTGCAGACACACGCCATAACATTGCACCTTAACGGCAGATCTGAATTTAATGCAGGTGAATGCCATGGTGTATGAAATGTCGGAATGGTAATCCCACCAGCGCTCTGCACTAACATGATTTTGGGAGACACTTCTGTCTACGTACCCCTACACTTCCTTCGGGGATAAGTTTACCCCTTCCACCCACCACAACCCCCTACCTTGGGGTCGGGACCAAGATTCATAATTTGCCAGCCCAACGGGCCAGGGGCGTGCTCAAATCTCTGGCAACAGAATTTGATTGTTAAACTTCGCGCGCGTGGGGCGGCCTCTGGAGCGCCCCGTGGAGCGCCCAATGGGTGGCAAGTTCCACCATGGCCGCCATGCACCCCCGAAAGGGCTCAAGATACCTAATCCAAAACAGCGCCAGGAGGTGTCCCAAAGGCCAGAATCATGCATTTTGCGTGCGCTTTTTCTCCACAACCTAAATGGGGTTCTTGTTCCCCGCATCCTCACACCTCAGCCCCTCTGTCCTCCTCTCCTCTTCTCACACTCATCACCATCACCATCCTAATGAGCATCATCACCTGCGTCACTCTCCTGAGCACCACCTCGGGCTTCCTCAATCATCACCATCACTATCAATTTCACCACCGTCATCATCGCCAGCATCATCACACCATGACGATCGGTCATCATCGACATCACCATCATCACCATCAACATCCACACCCACTTTGACATGAATTATCTTAATCCGCAGCAGTGTCGTCACCATCATCCCCACCATCATCATCGCACACACACACACACACATCATGACCACACCATGTTCTCACATTCACCATCACCTGCATGGCTATCTCCATCACACAATCACCATCAACCATCACCAATCATCACCACACCTTTTTTCACAGTCACCATTCATATCACACACGTTCACACACTGATCAAGATGAACTCTCGAGCGCATGCCTCGCTTGTGACTGAGTGGCGAGGAAGTCTTAGGCGGGAGCCCCCTCCCTCTGGGGCCCGCAACTCGTGTTACTAATCCGAACGGGTCATCAGGATCCTGTAGCCCTCCCGCTGATGCCATATGTGGAGCTCCCGCGTGAGGCCATGATCCTTGTGCGTGGTGCGCTGGCATAGGCCGCGCCGCCATGCGGACCCTCACATTGGGGCCGTAGGTGGAGCTCCCTTTGGGGCTGTGATTTTCGTGAAGGTTATGTCGAATGGGACCGGGTTGGGGGTCAGCCGGCTTGGGGGCGAGGTGTCGCCATGCGTCGGCACCCACTGAGGCCGTGGGTGTGGATCTCCCTGTGGGGGCACGAGGCGCTAGAAGAATGTGCCGAATTAGAGACGCGGTGCCGCCATACGCCGGCGCCCATTGAGACCGTGAGTGGACCTCTGTTTTGGGGAACGAAGCGTCTGAGGGGTGTGCCAGATTGGGGGCGCGTGCACCATGCGGTCGGTCCCACTGAGACCGTAGGTGAGCCCCCCCATGGGGCCACGGAGCGTGTTAGTAGTGTGTCGAATTGGGGGCGCGACCACCGGTGGAGCTCTATTCAGGCCACGAAGCGTGTGAGGGGTGTGCCGAATTTGTGGGTTCGCGCACCATGCGGTCGCGCCCGCTGATAGCGTTGGGGATGTAGAACGTGCGCGGGGCGCGCCAAAATACCACCCATGCGGAGGGCAGAGGCCAAAGAGGACGAGGTGAGGAGGTGGGGCGCTGCGGATTTCAAACGAGGGCCAAACACCGCAGGATGGTTGGGAACAGACAGAATTTGTTCAATGATATATGTTTTCTCGCTTTTACGGCCTCCAGCGCCCAAGAGCGCCCCAAAAAGGCTCCACGGGGCGGTGTTTCGAGCTCCGAAGGGTCCCTCCGTGCCCTGATCGGTGTCCTCCAACATGGCCCCAGGATCCCTCCCAATGCCCCGAAAAGGGCCCCAAGAGAGCTCCACTATGGCTCCATCCTCCTCCACCTCCTCCTCCTCCTCCTCCTCCTCCCCGTCCTCCCTTCCCCGTTCTCCCCGTCCTCCCCCTCCTCCTCAGGGTAGACACACATATCACATGACGCCTGTAGGCAGCTCTACCGTATCACATCTGCAATCAAATTATCCCAGTGCGACCCTACCTAGGAGTTGGAGCCTTTAAGTGTACCCGCCGGCCCCCTTGTGGGGCCACCAGGCTGTAGGCGCGTGATTCGCAGTTTCCTGTACCAGTTGTAGTTTCTAGTTTCCAGTGTTACAGTTCTGCTTCTTGCTGGTTACTGTAACTAGTTGACTTCTTGCTGGTTACTGTAACTAGTTGATTGACCGCGCGAGGGGGGGGAGGCCCAAACAGGATTTTAGCGTCCCCTGGGCGCGTTGTCTGAATTGCTGGGGGGGCTCGAAATCGACACCCCTCACGCAGATCCGCGGGGTCAGGGTCCAAAAACACAGGGGATTTGCCACATTTCTGAAATTCGGTGCCACCCCTCACGCAGATCCGCGGGGTCAGGGTCCAAAAACACATGGGATTTGCCACATTTCTGAAATTCGGTGCCACCCCTCACGCAGATCCGCGGGGTCAGGGTCCAAAAACACATGGGATTTGCCACATTTCTGAAATTCGGTGCCACCCCTCACGCAGATCCGCGGGGTCAGGGTCCAAAAACACATGGGATTTGCCACATTTCTGAAATTCGGTGCCACCCCTCACGCAGATCCGCGGGGTCAGGGTCCAAAAACACAGGGGATTTGCCACATTTCTGAAATTCGGTGCCACCCCTCACGCAGATCCGCGGGGTCAGGGTCCAAAAACACAGGGATTTGCCACATTTCTGAAATTCGGTGCCACCCCTCACGCAGATCCGCGGGGTCAGGGTCCAAAAACACAGGGGATTTGCCACATTTCTGAAATTCGGTGCCACCCCTCACGCAGATCCGCGGGGTCAGGGTCCAAAAACACAGGGGATTTGCCACATTTCTGAAATTCGAACCCATCACGCACATCCATCGCAAGGCGTGGTAACCCAAACTGCGAGAACTCCCTCGGCCCTTTCATCGCAAGGTGTGGTAACCAAGCCCTTAAACCATACACGTCTTACCAATCGCCAGGTGTGGTAACCCCTCTTGTGATCAGTTGGTTTTGCTGATTGCGACTCGGCTTCGCATGAAGTTTCGATACTGCTTCACGACAGCGCCAAGGTTCCATGGCCCATTCTCCGAGAGAGGGGGCCGGCGGCAGGGGGCGAAGCCCTTACGGATATATATATATATATATATATATATATATTATATATATATATATATATACACACATATATGGGGGATTCCGACCCCGGGGACCCGCAGGGCCCCCCCCGTGTACATAGGTAGTGCCCCCCTCCCAGGAGCCCTCCGGGACCCGCCCCCGAGGCTCAGAGCAGCCCTAAATCCGCCCAAGATTGTTTTCAGATGGCCCAAGAGCTCTCCAAGACGCACCAAGAGGACCCCAAGAGCGCTCCAAGACGGCCCAGGAGGCCCCCAAGGGTGCCCGAGAAGCTTCGGAAAAGGTCCTCGAGGAATTCGAATACTTCACAAACCAGCGGGAAATCTATATTTTTGGCCTCAGAGGGCCTCAAGACTGCCCAAGAGGCCTCCCAGAAGGTCACCAAAAGGCAAAAACAGGCAAATTCCTTTTGGAAAACGTACGTTTTTAGCAGATTCGCTTCTTCGGTCCTAACAGCGCCCAAGACGGACCCAAAGGCCCCCAAAACGGCCGTAAGACGACCCAAGAGGCCCCCAAGAGGACCCCAAGACGGCCCAAGAGAGCTCCAACACGGCCCATGAGAGCTCCCCGACGGCCCACGACGGTCCCCAGAGGTTCCCAAAAGAGTTCCCAGGGAGCCCCAAGAGTGCCACAGAAGGCACCCTCGACAGCCCAAGAGGGCCCCAAGAGGGCCCCAAGACGGCCCAAGCGCCCAAGACGGTCCAAGAGGGCCCCGGGACGGGCCAAGAGGGCCCCAAAGAGCTCCAAAGAGCCCCAAAAGGACCCCCAAGAAGGTCCCAAGAGGCCCCCAAAGACTCCCAAAACGCTCCCAAAACGGTCCCAGGAGGCTTCCCATTAGTCACCCGTAAGCGTATGGGAGGTCTCGCTTCGACGTCCTGCACGAGGCTCTCAGAAAAGGCTTCAAGAGGCTCCCGATTCACGATCCATCTCAGGTCTTCAGAGGCCTCGCAGAAACATGCCGCGCGGCCCACAGAAGCACCCAAGACGCCCCGAACTCACGATCCAGGTCAGGGGTGTATTTATTTCCATGGGCGGGGCGGCGGGATGCGAACGTTGGCTTCGGAACCGTCGGTGGAGCTCCCTGTTGATACG